CTTCCTCTCAACCAGCTTCCACTGAATTTTGTTCACCACCTCATTTCTTTTTGTATTCTTTTATTCACTAGACTAGGTCGAATTGACATAGATTTTTCTTTTATTGCTTCACAGCCAAAGAACACAAGGAGGGACGGTACCTCGAAGGCTGTAATAAGGCCAAGTTCTTATCTGTTATTCCTTCCAATGTCCCAAAGTTGAAGTGGAGATTCTTTTACATTCGACCTTCTTTCCCCTTACCTTTTGACTCGACCCATTGGCTCGAGGTCCTTCCCTTTAAAACCAAAAACCCCAATCGCGAATATGACACCATACACATAACACAACTACTCAAAACACGTCAGGCTATTGACCCAACTGAATATATCTCACTTTTTGGTCAATCAAAGTAGTAACTATTGTATGCACGTGCATGTTTATATTATACGAGTTAAGAGTACGCAGTAATTAACCGAAGTCTAATTTATTGACTCGATCAGTATAAGAAAAACTTATCCTCCGCGGGTTTCGTTCAATACACACAAAGTGTACTAGTGCAACCAATCAGTGAAGACAGACTGTACAATTTGTTAGAGTAGGGTACCCGGCGTTCCAATCTAATTGGACGTATTCTACTTGTAAATACAGTCTATTGGAATTATATTATGAATAAGGCATTTCTTTATCTTAAGAGAAAGCATTTATCTTATAATTGCACTTAAGATAAAATCCCTAGATCACTTATGGTTATAAGGTATGGTTGCGCATAGAGATGGTGATCATGGAACATACCTTGAAAGCCGTGATCTTAAATACAGTTCCAAGTCGATGGATGTTTCGAGATGGGATATCGAATAATCCATAAAAGACTTGCACATAGTTTGTATGCTTGTTGGACAAGAATGTTGCATTCCATCAACATTAGCGTAAGACGTAAGTACATTTATGTGGGTGCTTGTTAGAGAACAAGTTCACTGAACATGACCGTATGAAAATTCTTAATGAAGAATTTATTCAGTCGAATAAGAATTTTCATGTTACAATAGTACATGACTAATCCTAAGACTTGAGGCACAATGGTAACTTTGTGCATATTACATTCTACTTTGATTTATCCTTTTGGTAGCTAGCACTATCGTTTAAAGGGATAAGTTGGGTATTATGTTGATATGTATGGAAGTTTGTTAGTGGCCAATAAAGGATTCGACACTTATGAAGATAAGTGAATTTCCTATGTGTTTCATAGTTATTAATCCAAAGTCCTTGGCCAAGGCAGAGATGAATAGTGATTCATAACCGGGTTAATAAACATGAAATAGAATCATAGTTATTAAGTCAATTTGGGTTTCGACAAAATCATACCCAAGACTTAATCGGGAAATTAGATGTCGAAAGGATTTTACATGTATGGAGTTGTAATCGGAATAGGTTTACTCGCTATTCACTTAATACTAGATTCATGCTACTTGCTAGGTGTTACCATGATATGTGGGTTCATAAATTAAAGGGTTAATTCATGAATAAGAGTTAATAAGATTTAACTCAAATTACAAAGTGTTGTAAACCCACTACTAGTATTAAGGTGAACCTAAAAGGTCACACTAATTATGAACAAAGGTAAAGATTGTATTTCTAATGGTTAGAATTAATTGATAAATATCTAATTTGATTAGATATCAATTAAAGGAATATATTAATCAATAAGATTGATTAATTACATTTTGGATATTACTTTAGTAATTAAGGTAATTACTAAATTAATAAAGTTGAATTTTAAAATAGGATTTTAAATTTCAAAAATCCAAAATAATAATAATATGATTATTATAATATTGGGAAAATGATATAATAATAAAGTCTTGAGAAAGATTCTCAAGATTTATTATCCAATTATTATTTATATCTTTAAATATGATTTAAGGATTAAAATAATAAATATGATTATAATAAAATGGTTGTTGATGGTTGTTTGAACTACTTAACATATCTTATTATTTTCAAAGTCAAAAGTTAGTAAATACTATTTAAATAAAATTTGATTTTATTTAATATTACTAAATGTTGATTATTTTATGCTAAAATGTTTAGTATAAATATATGCAAAATGGTTTTGCATTTAAGTGAAGTTTTTGATCCTAAATTTCTAAGTGTTAGAAAGAGAAGAAAGTGTTCTTCATAAAACTTCAAGAAAGAGTTCTTAAAATTCCCAAATAAAATTCATAAATATTCCTATACAAGAAAACCGAGTCTTTTCTACTAGCGAAGGAAAGTCGTCGGAACCGGGCTTCATAGGGTGGATACGTTTAGAGGGAAGACACTTGGATTCCTCTAGCGAGTAACCTCAAGTCGTTGAAGTTACAACCGGGAACCGATTCCCTCATCCATCATCAATAGTGAAGGAGTTCAAGACATTCGGTAAATATTTTACTAGTATTTACTTTATAGTAACAAATCAAAATTTGTATATGATGCATGTTTTAAAGATGACGATCAGTTAATTTGCAATTAGTATGTACGGGTGTTGTATTTATACGATAAATACTTACTTTAAAAATTTTAAATTCTGCTGCGTACAGCCCATACGGTACTATCGAACCCAACACAATTAACACTGCATCTGTTCACGATGGGTTGTTCATTTCCATATAGGTTGTGAACTTAATTATTTATGTTTTACAAGTAACCAATATGTGTTCTTTTATCCATCCGTGATAAACCACAATATTCAAATGTAAAACATCACAACGTCAACTGTTTACTTAAACACGATTCTCATTCAAACAGGAACTGTGTCAACAAAAGGTCGAGTTTTCAGTATACACGCCAATAAGTTTGAATCCACAAATCATCATTCAAATCTTATTTAGTATTTTAAGGTTCACACATAACATGCAAGATGACACAACCCTTCCATATTTTGAAAGTCAAATTTTACACCTCTTGTGTTACGTTATGCAATTTTACCTATTATCTTATCCTTTGGATGATCTTTTTGAATCTTAGAAAGTGGATCTTGCCTAGATTTAATCATATTTCCAGTAGATGTTGGAACATAGTATTCAGAGATTTCTCAAGTGTACCCAACATTTTCTCTCAAATATTTTAATTTAAACAACATTCAAAACAGACCGGCTCTCACTTTTTTCAGCTGTGTCAAACACAAAAGTATCATTTACATTGGTGGAGCATCATTACATAAGTCATCAAAAACAATATTGATCAATTTCATAACAAGCTCAGACCACAAGTTATAAACTCTATATACACGACTGTTAGTAGCATAACCAAGAAATTATCCAACATCACTTTTAGACTCAAAGTTACCAAGATGTACCCTGTCATTATAGATATAGCAACGACATCCAAATACATGAAAATACTTGACAGTGTTAGGGGATTGGAATGACATAAGCATTGTAGAAGAAAAGAAAGGTGGCCGTCCGAGATCACAAGGGAGCCTAGAAGGATTCCAAGAGTTCATAGCTAACATGACAATGCAAGCAGTGAAAGGCACTGGACATCCATTCACCTGGGGAAACAACAGGGAAGGTGAAGGCTTTGTAGAAGAAGTTTTTGACAAGATGTTTGTCTCTTTAAACTGGCTGCAAAGTTCTATTCTTTTTCTCCGCAACAACATTTTGTTGGGGAGTTATGGGAGCAGAAAATTGATGAGATATGCCACGATAATCACAAAAACTATCACACCCAGTATTTTCAAATTCCTTCATGTGATCACTCCTAATACAAGTTTTTGAAACACATCAAGTGCATCAGATTTTTATCTTAGGAAGTCTACCCAAGGGTGTACCTAGAGAAATCAACCACAAACAAAAGAATCTATTTTCTTATCATTGTAGCTTTCAACCTAAATTCTACCAATTATACCCATATGTAACAAGTCCAGTATTTGACTTGTGTTCACCTCAACTATTTTCTTATGTGTGGTCTTTCTTTGTTTACCCATCTTGCATGATCCGCAAACACAGTGTTCTTGCCTCTTTAGCTTTGGTAAACCACGAATAAAAGGGAGATGTGTGGATCCTACGGTGAGATGAACGAAGATGGTGCTAGTCACATACCCGAAAATTGATTCCCTCTCCGTCGATCCTTATTCAGAAGAAAATTAAAAGTAATTTTTAAAGTCGTTTACAAATCAAAATTTGTAATATTACGTGATTTTAAAATATGTCGATCGTTACAATCGCTACGTGAACTGACAGAATCAGTATTTATTCGATAGATGCTTGCTTTATTACTTTTAATTTTCGTTGCGTATCACTCTATACGGTATAACGAACTCAACACATTGCTACAAATTCCTTTTATCCAATCCTGACCTCCAAAAGAATAACCAAATTATTGTACAAAAGGTTTTTTCTAGAGAGAATTTAGCATATTTGTTCACCAAATCTTTTTATACATCTATAGTTTTGATTTCAAATTTATGATATTGAAATGTGTAGACTTGAAAGAGTGTTGTCTTTTGAAGGAGATTTAAAAAAAAATAATCTTGAAGATTAGGTTCTGAAAGTACCAAATGTTCTTTCTTATCGGATTTTATTACCAAGGTTTTAATGATGCATGTTGTAATACGTAAAAAGGAAAGTGTTGTAAATATATATTGGTGTGGACAATACAATAATATGGATTGAGCAGGAGTTCGTTATGTATTGCATATTGTAAGCTCTATACATAGAGGACTGAAACTTAATACCGGTGAATAATGATATACTTATTTTTTTTGTACCGATAAAAAAAAAAATGATATACTTTTTGTTCCCGTTTTCTCATTCTCTTTACGCTTTACATATACCATGCTCGATGTGATTGATTTTCATATATATCCAATTAAATCATGAGTTTGCACGCCTAAATAATAAAAGCCTAGGTACAAATACCGAATATGATATACAAGGCCACTCCATCCAAAAGATTTTTAATGGACACAAAAATCAAAATATATTATAAAATATAAAAAAAGCTGAAATTATTATTATGATCAACGAGATTCATTAATCATACATACTGAAATTGTAGTTCGAGCAACTAAAATAGTTAATCACGAAATTTTCGGTGGGTTTGCACTCTTTCTTTTCATGCATCTCACGAGCATATATACATATATGCTAATTAAGGTTTTAATCTCTTGTGCCACTCAACTAAGCGATTAAGAAAGTGCATAACCTGTTACCAAAAACATATAACTTTCATTAATTAGCATAATTAATGATGTGCCCAATAATCAAACATTTGAGACAAAAAATTGGGTGGAATATATATCTGTTGTACTGCATGACTTGCCTCGAGTGGTTCTTGCAAAGTGTAGGAGGCTTTTGTTTCTTTAGGGCCTTTGGACACGAGAATCCCTAAGCCTTGTCCTCTATCTCGCAAAACCTGACTCACACACATATACCATAATTGGAGCTTGTTAACTTTTCCTGCTAAAACAGATTCCATTAAACAATTTTAGCTCAACCTTTAAATATTTGCAACTCAACCCTCTCTTTTTACAATTTTCCTCTTCCAAAGTAGCAACTTTCGGTGAAAAGTGGGTGAAGCTATTTTTGAGACTACCGAATTTTAAAGTATTTAGCTAGTTGAAACAAATGGAAGTCGGATTACTATTGAAGAATTTAATTGCAGGAAAGTATCAAAGAAAATCAAAATTGGGGTATGCCGTNAGAATAGTTGGAGCTACTAATTAACTGCTAAAAAATCGTATGTTGGATTATGACCGTAAAAATCGAATTGTTTGGAGTATTTTAGGTAATCAAATATCTATGCTTGTTTGTATTATCACAACAGAAGTAAATATTAGTGGTAGTGTATAATTTTGATTTATAACTAACTGGGCCTCTTCGTGACTACATTAAATATTGTATATTTTGTAAATTAACCCTTAATTAGGTTAATTGGGGATAATAATAATAATAATAATAATAATAATAATAATAATAATATAATGATAATAATGACCGACAGTGACATTACCATGAATGCATCTTCATCGGTTCGATCATCGCCTATGTAGACTGGAAAAACATCGTTGGACTCTGCAAAGCCTGCAGAATTTGTTTAATCAATTAATGCGGAATTTGTGATGAATAAGGTTCATGTCAAGTCTCAAAAGTAGAATTGATGAGACAAATTTACCTAAAGATTCTAGCAAAAATTCGAGTGCATTTCCTTTGTCCCATTTAATCATGGGACGAATCTCCATTACTTTCCTTCCTTGACTGAGCCTAAGCTGTTGATAGTCTTTCATTACTAATTTCACTTTATCACCTAATTCAATCCATCTCTGCAAATTCCAATAAATAATCAAATCAGTAGAAATGTGGATAAAAATGAATCAACGTCCCAATTCAGCTTTAGCATTTGGTTTTATTAATTTTATGATTCCTAGAGAAATCACCCCAAAAGTTTTGTTTAATTGCAAAAAAGCCCAACTTTTTCTTCAAGTTTCGTAACGGATCCCTTTTTGAATGGCCAGTGCACATTTTCTACCTTTTCCTCCACGCAACGGTAGTGAACAGACAGACAAAACTTATTGTTCTCAATGTTTGCTCCTGGAATATGTTTGATTTCTTCTGACAATGATTTCTCTACCTGCAACAGATTTACAAAATAAAAGGAAAAAAAGATAAAATAAAACAA